TCTTCTGACATCCATTTTGGTCTTCGCATCCTCTTCTGTCTTGCAATGACCGTTTGCACTCTTCCTGGATGATACCCTTGATATCCTCCCACAACTCATCTGGCCTTCGCTCAAAGCCTCAAACCTGTTCCTGAGATGGTTCTGAAATTCAGGTGGAATAGACTCAAAGTCATAGTTTGGTTGCCTTGGATTTGATGGTACATATTTTAGATCTTGCCAGCCATATGAGTTAACCCCCAACTATTCTATTCTGTGCTGTAACATGGAAGGTAGCACACATAAATAATACATAGATGAATAAGTGTTACTGCATTCCAATAAAACTTTATTTACAAAGCGGAGGGAAAAAATTCTCTTACACAGTATTTGCCCTTATGGGACTGAATTAGTTCACTCAGCATAATGCTTTTCAGTCCCTTCAGTTAGGTGGTGATTTACAAAATCATTAGTCCTGCGTGTTGTGTAGTAGTCCATCATGTGACAGTACCATAATTTCTCAATCCATTCAACAGTGGTTGGGCATTTGGGCTGTTTCCATGTTCTTGCAATGGTGAATAATGCTGTTATGAACACTGGTGTACAAGTCTCCATTTGTGCCTCAGTTCTCATTTTCTCAGGGTATTTTCCAAGCAGTGGAATAGGTGGGTCATATAGAATTTCTAGGTCCAGCTTTTTGAGAAAGCAACAACTGCCTTCCAGAGTGGTTGTACCACTTTACAATCCCACCAATAATGTATAAGAGTTACTATCTCTTCACAAACTCTCCAACATTTATTACTTGCTGCTGTACTAAACTTTTGTCACTTCTACTGGGGTAAGATGATATCTTACTGTGATTTTCACTTGCATCTCTCTTACTGCCAGTGATCTTGAGCAAAAAATATAATCTTAAGGGTAGTCTAAAGGATTTTTCAGGAATTAAAAACTAGCACAAACCCTCTGCAGCAGGAACATAATGTAAATGTTAACATGGATCAGGACTGGTAAGAAAGATGTACTCACCCAAGTAAACACTGCTTTCTGTGGCTCCCCGGGCAGCTTCCACGAGGTCTTCTTCATCTTCCAAGACTTTATTATTAGAGACATAACTTGTATCATCAAAAATACTGATTGGAATGACTTTATCATCCTTAACCAACCAGGCAGATGCAATTGGAGTACAAAACTAAGGAAAGGATAGGAAAGAGACTTTATTTAAAAAAAAAAATTAATTAAAGTTTATAAAGAACTTGAATTTCCCTGCATTTATTGCTGCATATTTTCCTCCCAGTTCCCTCTCCCCCTACTTAGCTTTTTTTCTTTGGAAAAAAGTTCTTGTTATTCAGTCCCCACCCCACAACCACTTTACTATGCAACTTTCATTCTGGACTCTTGTCAT